CTCTCTCTCTGTTTTAGGATCCTGTATCCTGATATCCTGCAGCTTTGTGATTATAAAAAGTAACTAGAGGATCAGCTGAACCACCAGCTGGAGTAAGGGCATTCGTATGGAACCCCCCCCCCCCCCCAAAAAAAAAAATAAATAAATAAAAAAAAAAAAAAAAATAAATAAATAAATAAATAAATAAATAAGGGGGACACCTCCACCAATGCTGTGCTTGGCAAACTCTACAAGGTGCAATAAACCAGAATTCTCAAAATATGCCAAAAAAGAGAAAAACTTTATTACCTTTGTAAAAATGGTCTGATCAAGCCAATTTTCGAACTCCGCCTATATTTTCATAACATTAATTACTCCTGTGATTTTCAAGACAATGAGCCAATTGGTTTTCCTTGAAATGCGTTATCAGTGTTGCATATATGCTAAAAAAGACGGGAAAACAGCATTACTTTTGAAAAAACGGCCCGATCGTGCTGATTTTCAAACTGTATTTTATGAATAAACATCAGTTCCATAAGGTTCAGGCCTTCCCAACTACCAGACTCGGCACCTACGGGTCCAGAATAAACCGGTATATCTGACCACACTACCCGTTTTCAAGGTGTGTGTCAGATCGCATAAAAGAGTATCATACCCTATCACAAATTCTGTAAGCCTACCTGTCATCCGGGTATCGCGCCTCGTTTTCGTCAAGTAGGAGTCGCATGAATACAACAGACGACTCCCTCAATCAGGGGGTGGAAACGCGCTACTTATATGATTAAGACGAGCCTAGCCGTCAGTACCGGTTATTGTTTTGTGACCTTGAGGAGCAATTAGGTTTGGTCGTTGCGGCACGCATCAACAGTAGTTGAACTACCACACCTGGGTCTTTTGTTTTTGACAACTGTTCACTCGTCATCGAGGCGCTTGTTCAAGACTACAGGCTGATATCTACTAGTACTACCAGTGGCTTCATTAGTAACGTTCCCACAATACTTAAGTTTTCTGTCCGTGCGTACAAACCCTGAAAAAGGACAGCCTCGCTGACGAGAACAATGGACGTTTCTCACCCCTCTCTAGGATTACCCCTGCCCTCAATCTCGTCCATCCCGGTAGTCACGAAAATATTTAACCCCCGACAGAATATGCTTCTGCTATCAAAATTAAGTCTACTTTTCTAAATTAATATATAAGTTTGCAAGTTCTTATTTACAAAACATCATTGGCTATGTCCGAACCTAAATTTTATGTTAAAAATTGCGGTACTGTCAGATTTTAGTATAAACAGAGAAAATTGCAGCAGCGCATGAATCTAGATGAGATGCACTACTTTCCAACCCCGCTTAGGATCATTGCTATCACATCGCGCACCAGGCAAAATCGGTGTGGTGGCTGATACCCTGTAATGCGATCTGACACACACCTTGAAAACGGGTAGTGTGGTCTGATAAACCGGTTTATACTGGACCCGTAGGTGCCGAGTCTGGTAGTTGGGAAGGCCTGAGGTTGAAGACAACAGATAAAACCGTTTTCCACTTATTGTGGTATCTCTGAAAGTGCATGGCGACGGCAGACAGCTACGGTGACGACAGAGGCAGGTGAAAGCTAGTACTATAAAGCAGTGTACTATACATATATATTGACAGACAGAGACCAGGAGTGACTACTTTTCACTGTCCAGATATTGTGGCACCGATCACTGTCTCTCCCAAGCATTTCTCGGTTGACCTAGTTTTTAACACTTCAGTGTATGTGGTAGTCTGCCTGCGAGTGCATTTTGCGGGCTCTTTTACAAGTCAAGCATACATTGTTAATTATAGGCTTCATTATTTGTTTACTCAAAAAAGGTCGTCTGAGCTATATTTATATCACACTTTTCCTTGTTACAACCTCAACAAGACAATTATGCGCCACAAAAAATGTTGAAAAATCTGTTCCAAATAACGTTAAATGCACCAAATTGCACTTTGATATTAAAATTTTTCCAGGGGAGATTGCCCCCAACCCCCAAGTCTTGCTGGTACCCTAAATTACCCTGTCAACTTGCAGACATTGAAACTCAGGGGTAACACTGGCCAGTTTTAAAGATATAGGCCTAAGAGAGCGAAAATATGCAAAGTTTAGTTCATGGTGAAAAGTAGGTCAAATGTCAATAGGACGATCACGGTTAGATTGCCAGTATATGATTTCCTATTCAAATTCAAAAGTAACTACGGGCGTATCTCTGCCAGTTTTGGAAATATAGGGGACAGAAAACTTGTAAAGTTCAGCTCATGGTGAAAAGAAGGTGAAAGGTCAATTTCAAGATCACAGTAAGATTGCAATTATATGAATTCCTATTCAAGTTCAATAGTAACTATGGTCATATCTCTGCTAAATTTAGAGTATTTCACATTTTAACTTCACTGAATATTACGACATTGTACTTTTTGATATAGCGCAACTCCTAAACCATATCGATCAACAAAAAAAACGGATACCACCTCCAGTGTAGTGCTTAACAAGGTCTACAAAATGCAAAAATCAAGATTTCTCTAATACATACTGTACGGTTCCAGAATTAGAGAGAGTTTTCAATTTTGGCATCTAACGGCCGCTTCTCCCATGAAAATGCACCGATTGACCCCAAACTCCCGAAGGTGAAAGCAGTCCCTAATTGTTTCCCCTCATTGTAATATGAGAGCTTAGGTCTGTGTAGTTTCTGAAAATTAGCACAAACAAATGTTTTTTTTTTTTGCAAAAAAAAAAAATCCCTTTTTAAAAAAAAATTGGCCCGTTTGAAATAAAGGTCAAAGGTAAAATCCAAGGGCATATTTGGAATCTTCACATATGACTTTTGATCAGACTTCTACAGTAATTTTTCCCATAATTCCTTTAGTGTGGGAGATATTTGGCATTGAATTTTCAAAAAATTTGACAAGGGTGCGTTTCAACCACCGTCACGCCCAGGCCAATACACCGAACGAGACACCGAAAAAAAAAAAAATTAGGGGGTTCAAGTTGAGATTACATGTGACCTAAATCCAAGAGATGACGGCAGGGGCCCTTACGGTCTAGGAGGAGAAGCGGTAACAGTGACTTGTATCCGGCGCCAGAGCCCGTGTAACAGTAATCCAAGTCCCCCATGGTTGTCCGTAGGACTAACGTTACTTGGGAATAGTAGTCCTACAGGGACTTAGGTTCCTGGCTCATAATTAGAGTAGGTAGGACTTGCATTACTGTCGGACTTTTATCCCTGTTACACCTATGACAGTAATGTAAGTCCGGCCATTTGAAAGTCCTATCCTTACGCAATAATAATGATACAACTATAAATGTATATGAAATCCTTCTGGTGAGCCATATATCAGACAAAAAAATACAGGTTTGCAAGTTTAGCTCGTCTGTGTAGTGGTTAGCGTGCCAGTCCGTAAGATGTGTATCCAGGAATGGTTCTGTTACATCTTTGGGTTCGATACCTACCTTTGACATGACCTTATCCCCCCTTTATTACTTGTAGCAAAATGTATAATGGTGTTTTTAATGTCTAATATGTGTTCGAAATGCCGTGCTCATTACATTTACAACTATTTTTTTTGTTTTGCTTTTTAAGTTTCAAAGCACCAAAACAGCAAACGGATATTACAGAACATTATATACATATATTGCAATTTTCAATTTCTAAACTGTCTTGATTTGTCTTAAATCTTAGCCCATACTTTCCAAGAGCAAATTTCCATCGAGTTTGAGGTTATTTTTTCAATTTCTGCTAGTGTAAACCGAAAAAAAAATCTAAGAACGGAGATCCCCCGTTTTGTGTAAAGTGATTTTTCTCTTAGGAATACGATTTTCAAAAAGAGAGAGAGACAAAATAAGAATTTAGACGCAAAACACAAAAGGTACACCCCAGTAGAAAAGGAGAAATAATATACATATACCTCAAAGGAGAAAAATAAGGGATGCCTTTGGATGGTAGGCCTACCTTATTTTGTTAAAAAATATCGGGCAAACCAGGCTCATACATATTGAGGGAGGAGTACGTCAAAAATATGCGTTAACACATGTAAAAATGTGCGTTTACTAGATGAAAAACACACATAAAATAAATAAATTGTTTTTGTTACTTCATAAATATGCATATAAACTGCCTATCGGAAAATAAAAACATTGTGAAATATAAAGATGAAATGTCATATAAATAGAATAAAGCAAACGTTTATTATATCTTTAAAACTAGTATGTCTCTATATCTTTTTTGTTTCATCTATGCGGATGATACTTCCCTCTTTATGCCCTCGCGTCGGGGTGAGGTCGATTCACACGATATATTACAAGGTGACCTACGTACCATCGAAATTGGTCCAATAAATGGAAACTGAATTTTAAACCGGCAAAGTGCCGCGAAATTATATTCGGCAAAGAAAATAATACTAATACATACCCTGGATTGTATATTAACAATACCATGATACCCAGGTCTAAGAGCCATAAACACCTGGGACTAGTACTTGATCCAAAACTAAAATTCAACGACCATATTGGTTTTGTTTGCGAAAAGGTTCAACGGGCTTTAAATGCCCTAAAACCTCTATACTGCAAAGTTAGGTCCAAACTCTTAAATGTTATATATAATGCATTTACCCAATCACAATTTGATTACTGTGACATCTTCTATCATAACTCACTCCAGAAGAAATTATAGAAACTATCGTCTCTTCAATACCTAGCCGGCATAATAGTACTGGGAGCCTTACCTAGCTCTTGGACCTCCAAAATATTTGAACAACTAAATTGGATTTCTCTATTTGATACATGTAGAAGAAAAATGCATGCTCAAAAAATTATGTTTTCAGTTATGGCGAATATGATCCCCTCCTATGTTTCTGATATATTCCACCCATTCAGAAACCCTTTTCCAATCATAACCCGAGAAAATAACAAAAGAGACTTTAAACTTCCTTCTTGATACCCCCGTACCTCAGTTAACTATTTTCTAATGTATTCATGAGATCAACTCTCCTCCTCCACTAAACCTTTACCTTCAATCTCATCTTTCAAGAACTCTATAAAAAATCACCTCATTGCTGGGTCGCTTTCAACAACAACAACACTAAACTTGGACAGAAATCAAGAAAAAGTTCTTAACAGAGCGAGGGTCGGGTGTTTATTTAGAGCAGAATTGTTTAGGCATAATTGGACTACTATTGACACATCACACTGCACCTGCAGTGCCCTTGATATTCCTCTGCATTTCTTTTTCAGATGCCCCTCACTCAATTAAAGGTATCCTCCCCTTTACCAAAAAATAAATGAAATATTACATGAACGTAAGACCTCTTTTAAAACACAAAAAGAAAAGTTTTCACTATTTCTCTATGGTCGTGGATGTCTATCAACTACCCAAAATGAAATGATCTTTGAAACCATTGCAAATTTTCTACTCGAAAACCTTCACATAACTCAAAGAGTACCATCTTTTCTCTGCTTGACCTAATTTATTTCATTTAATGATTTCATATAATTTTCTTTTCTATTAAAGTAATCCAAATTGTATTTAGTTGTGTTGTATACGTAAATTAGTTACGATCCTTTTCTTCTCCCTATTATTTTCTTTCTTTCTGTATTTAAATATTTCTGGTAACTTTTGTGTTCCAAAACTGAAATCTTTGAAGTTATATATATATATATATATATATATATATATATATATATTCTGTTGCATATACGTATTCATTTGTTTTATTTACTTATTTAATTTTGTGGAGAGCATCTAATGCTTATAAACATTGTTTAAAAATTTATTTCTTCATGTTATTTCTCGGTGTAAACTATATAGGACATGCGTTACTAAAATGTCACGAACGCACGTCCCATTATTAAGACATGCATTACTACACGTAGGACTTACATTACTTGGGAGCCTTTGTCCTACGGACATTGAATCCTAGTAACGTATGCCCTAGGACTTCCATTCCTAGCAATGCATGCCCTAGGACTAGCATACCCAGGACTTAGTGTCCGGCTTTCGTTACTAGGAGGTGCACTCCTGCCACCCGGCGGAGCCGCAGGAGACGGGTCGGGACTAAAACCATGAGTACCGCCAGCGTACACGCTGGTTGAACTAATTACCTGATACATTTGCATATTCCATCGCTTTGCCCCACTCTCCCATATTCAGTGGTTTGCAGCGATTCCTTCATGATGGTAACGGGCCTTTAGACAATGCTCTTTTCATCTAACTCCCCAGTCCAATGAAGTAAGTCAACCTAACAGGGCTTGCATCTATTTACATATTTTACCGTTGCTGACATTTCATTGGCTTACATTCTTTGCAGAAGTAAACTCTATTTCTGCATACTGATCATGCATTTACTTGTCTTTGCGTGATTACGTAATATTTTCCCACCATGCAACATTTCCTTATTAGGCAATCAGTAAGAGACTTGTTTTCAATTTAAGACATCTAGAATGTTATTTGAATTACTCATGCTTGGACCTTATCCAAAATATATTATGAATTTAACCAATTACATAAACTGTTACTGACCTTGACCTTTTCCATCTTTTTCTGACACATAAAAAACATGTTCTACACTTGTTGACTCTTGAAGAAAATGTAAATCACGACGGAAAGCGCTTGTCAACTGAAAGAGATAAGCACCGGGCAAGTTAGATATTAACTGTACCGTTTGTATATACATAATAATTGATTTGTCGATGGCATTTGATCGAATTCAAACCAAGAAGTCTATCTCTTATAGAAAAGAGTAGCAGGAGAGACGAAAACAGTGTTCAAACATCTGCGCAGGTGCAGAAGTTGTGTCAGCAAAGAAACAAAATACTAACATTACTTTTTTCCGAGTTGAGAACACATCCATAAAAGAGTTTCGCCGGTGATATAGACACACTGGGCTTTTAAGCTATGGCTTGCAATTTGCCGTGTCTGTGACAATATGGTGATTTCAAGCATGTAGACTATTATGTATTTAGATGAAATATTGAGGAAATGGAAACACATTGCTTTTATTCGTGAAAATGCCTAATAAGAGATGTACGCAGAATCGAGATCTGCTAGAGTGGACGGCTGACATCGGAGACAGAACCTTCCAACTGCTCTACCGTACATGTAAATGTCATTTCTGTGTCTTTCTGGTGCTGTGAGCGATATTTGTCTGATGCGATGGCCAAACCCTATGTTATGCAGCCAGCGTGTTGCAAGGTCTTTCTTCCATGTCTTTATTGCCTCAAGATGGCGGGAACCACGAAATTGCTGTCGATGACTCATTCAAAGGAAAAATGCACAGTTCCATTTTTCTGCGACACGGAGTGTAGTTTTTCTAAGAAATATCCAGTTAAGCTTTATGACTGTAAGCGATCTGTCACAGCTCATTTGTCGAAGTGCGGTCTTAATTTAAAGTTGAGCTACGGAGGTGAGACTTTCACAGAAGCCCACCTGATATCGTTTCGGGTGGGTGTCTTCAACCTTGACGGAAACATGTGTGTTTGTCAACACCATAGAGAAAGCCTGGGTTTGCACTGGTTCAAGCCGTCTTATTGCCAGTACCCAACACATACAGGAAAGAATCTCAAGGGGAAATTCGTGTGCGATGTGGATATGACCAAATGCTTGTTTTATTAGAGTGGAAACTTGCTGTAGGAAACTTGCTGTGGAAACTTGCTTGCAGAACTGCATGTATAACTTATTTCAATTAAAAATTCGTTGCTATATGTGTTTTGATGGCATATTTCACACAGACAAGTGGTGCTTTACAGCATAAATATTTTCGGAATACTATTAATTAGGTCGGGGATTCCCCGTTGCTAATGGTGATTTGGTACGCGACTGTTCTCATGTAAAATAGCTAGATATTTGTGCCTTTTTAAAGGCAAAATTAAAATTTTTGAAAAAGAAAAATATCAGTATCGTTGACATCTGTTAATGATATGTTCTTAAACTTTTGATTATACTTAAATACTATATTTATTTGTAATTGTAATACTAACTGTCAGTGCTANCACAATCACCGCTTACGCATTGATATGCAAGATCTGCGGACAGACTGATGAAACCGGTCGGGGCAAAATAGATGCCGTTATTTTTTCTTTTTATCATATATATATATATATATATATATATATATATATATATATATATATATATATATATATATATATTTCAAAATCAAACTGGACTGTCATCGTGTGGGTTACTGCATATCGGTTACAGAGAAACATCATGTGCCGATTCAAAACTATAAACACAGTTTTGAGTTGTACATGCAAGTCTCTATTATTATATATATTATTATTCTTTGTTGGCGACTTTTGGTATTTACTTATGAAGGTATACATGTGGAACTTCTATGTCGTTTTACCTGAAGGGTTTTGAATTGAGTATAATGTAGCATGCATAGAGAAATGCTAATTTCCACAAAAAATTCTTAGCTAAATAGAGGTCAACAGTGTACACCTCTACAGCAAACCTTTTCCCGTTCAGCAGCATTTATTTGATTAGTCTCCTCTAGGTCTTGTATTCTCCCATTTAGCCTTCTTCTTTCATTGTCATTTTCCTCTTTTTGCTGAAATATGGTCGAAATTGGAATATCATTAAAACACAATTTATTATTCACATAATTTCAATTCTGCACATAACACCCACAATTCACACTTTTATTTATTATTTTCTGTTTTACTTTATAATACGTCGAAAGAAGGAAGTCTCATAAGGCTCTAACCTTCTTGATATGTATTTCACATACGACTTCAGGTCCAAGGGAATTATCTTCACAAAATAAATTTGCACTATTTCAAGCAAATAACCTAATCAGAATGTTTTTTAGACTCAAGCTGTTTATTATTGCAAAGGGTAAGAATCACTCCTACAAGGGTAGGAGTGCAATAAAATATGTCGACAAAGGAGACAGTTTTATAAACAAATATTGATGTTTATAGCCCACATGTTGAGTTACTTTAGTTGTTTTTGTTTTGCAAGTCATTGAATGGGATAAACAAAAAAGTGCATTGACTTAGTTAATGGCTTCTCACAAAAGGAAGTACACAAAAGCGGATAAGCTGAGACCATTATGAACTAGAGGATCAGAGAGGCGATACCGCTTCCGGATATTGTACCAACAGCAGGAGTAAGAGCCACCACCACTACCACCTGTGCTGTGATTGACAAAATTTACTAATTGCAATAAACCAGTTCTCAAAATATGCCAAAAGAAGCGAAAAACTACATAACCTTTGTAAAAGTGGTTTGATCAACCAGTTTTGGAGACATAACAGACAGAAAACTTGCATAGTTCAGTTCATGGTAAAAAAAAAAAAAAAAAAAAAAAAAAAAAAAAAAAAGGGTTCAAGTTGAAATTATATGTGACCTAAATCCAAGAGATGAGGAGGAATTAGAGAGAGAATCGGTAACGGTGACTTGTATCTGGCGGAGCCGCAGGAGCAGAACCGTACACGCTGGTGGTATTCATGAGAGAGAGAGGTGTAACAACTACATTTTTATGTCACTCAGTTAATTTGCACTTTCGAAAACTGTAACTGGCGCAGGGCTTTCGAGATAATGGAAGTTAACATCACATCTTGATAATGCACGTGTTTCATTACACAATTTACTGGTGATCTACTGATTCGGCACGTTGCGAACCAGCCGAAGATGGTCCAGAATGCATCCCTGTTGCAATACCCTAAAGTATATAGCTAAAGACCTGGAAAGATCGAGCCAAAGTATGTGTGCAACGAAATGCTGAGTTTGAGACATGTAATTCTTTGTTGGGGAGGTTAAATCGTGGCTGGAGACGTAAATTCGCTCCCTAATGAAAGACTCCCGTTACAAAAGGGCAATCATCGTTTATGAGGACTGTCTTTGCGTGTAATTTTAACTCTAAGGAATGAGCTACCGTACCAAATTTATCTTAGCCCCAAGGTGACAGGAATAGTGCCCCCAGGTTTTAGTAATGCTAGATGGAATAAATGTCACCTGTACAAAGTACAGGGGAATGGACTACGGCTCCTAGTTCACTGGTATTCCTGTCGCATCAGCATAAATGCAATCAGGGTGCTCACTTAGAATTCTTATTAAACTGTCAAATGTACAGACTAAAAGCATAAAATAAGAATGCACAAAATAGGCTTTTATCAATTCTATATATATATATATAACGGTTGATAAAATAAAAAAAAAACAAAAAACAAAAACAGCATAACTGTTGTATAAATGGTTTGCTCAAGTTGATTTTTGAACTTGACCTTTTAAAAATGTGTTAGTAAGATTTATCACTCCTGTGAGTTTCAACACAATAGACCCATCAGTTTACCTTAAATGTGTTATCAGTGTTGCATTTATGCAGAAAAAAATGTAGAACTTTTTGAATAAATGGCCTGATTATGATGATTTTCGAACTGCCATGAAGAGACCCGACAACTCATTGCCGTTAAAAGCGTCATTGGAGGCATACATGGCTTTGTGATGAAACAAGATTTCTTATTTTGGGCGTTGCGAGTAGATTCCGTTGTTCATGTGAAATAAAGAAGAGGTTAGCTGAAGACCGTAAAATGGGATTAATGCACACAGTGTTGGGCTGGCATTATTTATGAGGCCCGAACCAACTGGTGTTCCTCAGAGAAAACTAGTTTTTTACATGCTTTTTTGAGCATATTACTGCTAGGGATATTTTGGAGTGCGCCCGGCAGGAGCGACCCAATTCTAGATGGGTAGTGGAGATCATAACTAATGCTACGTTCTACATGAGTAAACTGAAAGGCCATCCCATCGGTGGTGATGAGTTCTTACCGCCTTATATTGTGAACAACAAGGGTTTGATCGCGCTCCAGGGAGATAAATACAATGGGGCTGTCGGTTTTCCTAGACATATGTTGTCTGCAATGCATATTGTATGAAGTACGGTAAAAAAAGTATTTAGTTGGAAAAATTATCCGATCAAGCCGACTTTCAAAGTTGACCTGTATTTTATTAATAGCCATTAGTTAGTTGCAATTTTGAAAACATGCCGGGTGGGCCAGATAGTTTTCCACATACTGTGGTTGGTGGTTAAGGTAGTTCCCAAAGAATTTAACTTAAATTATAGGCAAAGTAACTAGCATTGTAGACCTAAATTAAAAAAATTCTTAACCATAACCATTATGTCTCTTCTCACCAATATGACACATATTTCAAAAGCAAACTCTTATGCTGTTTAATGGGCACAATAATTTATATTTAACATGCACATACCATGCATATTTTAAAGAATCCAGCGATATCGGATAAATCCAACCTCTCTCTCTGCACGGTTAATTTCATGGGCCCTATAGCTTGTTGCAAGTAAGACTCTTTCAGTTTGTCCATATCTGCCTCCAGCTTTTCATTTGTGTAGCCTTTTGGTATTGGGCTCAGGCGTTGTTTCAAATCATCCAGGAGTCTCTTGAACACCTTCTCACAGTAATGACGAGACCTGTCACGATTCTCCTGGAGGTAACGTAGCAGTTCCCCACCGACGACGCTGCTATTTTCTAGACTATCTCTCTTGACTGCAGGGGAAATAAGAACTATTTGAAATCATAAACATAAACGGTGCATTTCTGGAAGTCAACCAACAAACTGTTAGCTTTTTAGTGTGCCTCTATGGGTGCTTTCTCAGAGATTTAGATCGATCTAAAGA